AGGGCGCGGCTGGATCTGCAGCATTACTGGCCAGGCAAGTGCGTGGGTCGTGCCCTGGGGGCACAGGTGGCACTATGTACAGTCTGAAGGCAGGCTGGCCCATAGAAACCCTCCCAGACCGAAGGGAGGAGACAGGATGAGCCAATTCAAGGGCCCAGGATAGTCCTGACAGGAGGTGGCAGATGCCACAGGGGTAATGGGACTGGGGGCTGGAGGGTGACAAGAGGAATGGCAGTGACTCTGGGAAGGACAAGAGCCATGCCACCGCCTGTCACCTGCCTCAGAACCACCGATTTGCTGGCTCCTAAGGCTGGTGGGTTAGCAGGGCCGGGACACAGGTGCTGAGAAGGAGCCGGGACAGGTGTGTGGCTCAGAGCCGTGTGGGGAGGATGGCATGCGGGGGGCTCTGCCCCAGTGAGGCCCGGGCTGTCTCATCTCCCTGGCACGTGGGCACCGGGTCTGGGCTGTGGGTTGACATGAGTTCCACCAGAAGCAGTGAGGGGCCGGAGCACCAAGTGCTACAGCATAGGGGCCGGGGGCAGGGAATGAAAGTCCGGTCTGGCCGGCGTGGCTGGGTGGCTGAGTGTTGACCTATGAACCAGGAGGTCACGGTTCGATTCCCAGTCAGGGCTCATGCCTGGGTTTCGGGCTCAATCCCCAGTAGGGGGCATGCAGGAGGCAGCCAATCAATGATTCTCTCTCATCACGGATGTTTCTATCTCTCTCTCCCTCTTCCTTCCTCTCTGAAATAAATTTAAAAAATTACATATATATATATATAAAATATTTTTTAAAAAACAAACAAAAAAACTCCTGCCTGGATCAGACCGTATGCCCAGCCGGCTCGGGCAGAAAGGCCACAAGGGGATGCTGGGAGCAGGGGCCATGCAGGGGCCCGTGGAGGGAGCCCGCGGAGCTGCCAGGGGGCCTGCGTCGTGCTGGGGCCTTCCCTCCTGTTATGGGTATTTCTGGGTAGAACGCGCCCCCCCCCCCAAGTTCATGTGTTAGAGTCCTGACCCCCAGGAGCTCAGAATATGGCCTTATTTGGACACAGGGCCTCCAAAGATGTAATCAAATGAAAATGAGGTCATTAGGGTGGCCCTGGTCCAACATGACCAGTGTCCTTACAAAAAAGGGGACATTTGGCCCTGACTCGCCGCCGCGGGGAGAACGCCATGCAGAGATGACGACGGAGATTGGGGCGATGCGTTTACAAGCCAGGAACACCGAGGTCCGCCAGCAGGAGGGAGGCCTGGCACAGAGCCTTCCTCGCTGACCCCGGAGGCACCAAGCCCGGGCACACCTCGACCTTGGGCTTCTGGCCTCCAGGACTCTGAGGCAGTCAGCTTCTGGTGTAAGCCGCGCCCCCCTCAACCCCCCATCTGTGGCACTGTGTTCCAGGAGCCCCAGCAAAGTAACAGCTTCCAGGCCCCAGTGGGGCCCATGGAGGGCTGTTCTCAGGGACAAAGCCCTTCACGCCCATGAGAGAGGCGGCCTGGGAATTCGCTCCTGGGGCGCGAGCGGCCACCTCCGGCCGAGCACCTGCCCGACCCACCTCCACGTGACTTGCTCCTGGGCCTGGAACCCGGGGTTCCCGAGTGGTGGCTGCTGAGCTGCGCCAGCCCCACAGATGTATGTTTGGCCAGCGTGAGTTTATTTACAGATTTTTCTTTAGTTGCCAACATTGAGGAATTGGGAGATGACACATGAAAATTCTGATTTCTGGCCTCTCTTGGAAAAATAGATTTAACCAATGGGGCCCTTCGCTGCGTGGCCCAGTCACCTGGAGGGGAGAGGGGGAGAGGCCGCCTGCCATGAAGGGGACACGGCCCCGCCCCGCCCACTGAGCACACACGGGTGGGGACCTCTCGAAGGGAAGGAGGGGCGGGGCTCCGGGTGTAAAAGGCACTAAGCCTCAGTGTACATGTCAGAAAAATGGGGCCAGGAAGGCTACCCTGTCTCCCCTGGTGCCCCCTCCCATGCTTGCTCAAGACCCAGGACAGGAGCCCACGGGCAGGGAACCCCAACACGGCCCAGAAGGGCCCCTGCCCTCCCCAGCGAGGGAGCGTCGTGGTGGACGTTACCGATCACCAGCTGGCTCCTTTCCACGGGCGACAGGCTGAACACGTTGGGGTTTTCTCCGGCATCGGTTTTATAAAAGGTTTCAATGTCGATGGAGAATTTTTCCACGAAAGGGCAAGTGAACCTGTGGGGGAAGAAAAGCATCCATCAGGACCCTAACCCTAACCCTAACCCTAACCCGAACCCGAACCCGAACCCGAACCCAAACCCGTGGGTGGAGGGTGTGGGCGTGGGGTGGCCGGGCCAGGGCCTGCTGGACCCTCAGGGCAGGAGACCCAGGTGGAAGGAGGCTGGAGTGGTGGACGGGACTCATCTGTCCTGTCCACCTCCTGGACCTTCCCCTCGTCCCAAGGACAGCCCAGGCCAGGCCAGGCGGGGGCAGGGGTGGGTTTAGGGGAAGAGGGAGATGTGGCAGGAAGCTGCTGGAAGCCCCGTGTCCAGGTCCCCGTGTGTGAGGCATGGTGCAGACGCAGGTACAACTACCGCAGCCTACTGCTGAGTGGGCGGAAAGGGACAAGCACTCCGAGCCACAGGCCACCCCTGCCCGCTGTCCCACAAGGAGTCAGGTCTGGTAACAAGGGACCAGCCCTCTGCTCTCTCTTTTTTAAAATGTTTTTATTGATTTCAGAGAGAGGAAGGGAGAGGGAGAGGGAGAGAGAAACATCAATGATGAGAGAGAATCATTGATCGGCTGCCTCCTGCACGCCCCACACTGGGGACCGAGCCTGCAACCCAGGCATGTGCCCTGACTGGGAATCGAACCCTGACCTCCTAGTTCATGGGTAGACGCTCAACCACTGAGCCATACAGGCCGGGCCAGCCCTTCTCTCTTGGCTGGGGTTGAGTTCAGAGGAGGAAAGTGTGTTGGGAGGAGGAATGGCCTCCATGGGTCCTCAGCCAAGCTCTGGGCCCTCACCCAGGATGGGGAAGGGAGCCCAGGAGACTCGTGGGGAAGCAGGTGGGCAGCCAGCTGGGCGCACCCCGTCTGGTCGAACCCAGTGGTGCTCGGCTACACTGGGTGAGGTGGGGGCACAGAGTGAAGAACCTCCCACCGGGGGATCTAAAGGAGACCCCAGTTCAACATGGCACCTAGCTGAGGGTCTCGGGGTTGGAGGGAATCTGGGCCATCTGGTCTACCCTCAGGTCGTGCTTCTTCCCAGCTGCTGACTGTCCCCAATTCTCAGGTGAACATGAAGGTTTAGTTTGTATTCCCTGAGCTCCCAGATGACAAGGGGGTCTCGGCCGGACCTTGCTGAACTCATGCCTTCCAGGCCTCCCTCCCTGACACCCCTCTTCTGCCTGTTTCCTGCAGGGGACCCCAGCGGACCTTCAGGGCGCCCCTACCTGGAATAGAGGCTCAGCTCCCCGGAAGCCTGGGGTGCAGGGGCTGAGCCTACCTGGAGGGCTGCTCCCGGGATCTATGCCGCAGGGCGCCTCCCTGCTCACCTGGTTCGAGTGTAGGGGTAGGCGTTCCAGGACTCCTCCACCACCCGCAGGCCCGCCTTGGGCAGGATGGAGCGGAACCAGCTGGGAATGTGCCTGCCCACGTGGTACACCTTGTGTGTGTACTGTCCGGAGCCGCCTGGGCCGTCCGTGTATGGCCTGTTCTCCAGGATCTCCACGCCGCTGCCTTCGCCATATGTCTCGTTGCGGCTCTTCTTCTGTGGGGACAAAGGCACCATCCATGTGTGGGGGCCACAGTGCTCTACAGAAGGGAAGGGGCTCAGGTGATCAAGCCCCGGAGAGCTGAGTGGGAGGAGGAGCCTACAATAAGCAGATCTATGTAGGAGAGGCAGGAGTCTAGAAGGAAACCCATGTACCTGTATCTGCAAACTATATATATTAATTTTCAACAAGGATGCCAAGACCACTCAATGGGGAAAGAATAGTCTTTTCAAATGGTGCTGGGACAATTGGCTCTCCACATGGAAAAGAATGAAGCTGGACCCCTACCTCACACCACACATAAAGAAGATACAGGGGGCAAGTCTTCATCATCTTGGATCTGACAATGGTTTCTTAAGCGCAAGCAACCAAAGGTAAAATAGATAATGGTTTTTCCATAAAAAATGTAAAACTTTTGTGCATCACAGGACACTAAGAAGAAAGAGGAAGGCAATCCACCGAATGGGAGAACATTTTTGTAAATAATATATCTGATAAGGGCTGTGTATACAAAACATATTAAAAACTCTTATGACTCAACAACAAAGAAGGAAATAACCCAATTCAAAAATGCACAAGGGGCTTGAATAGTCATTTCTCCAAAAAAAAAAAACACGCAAATGGCCAACAAGCCCATGAGAAGATGCTTCAGCCCTCTAGTCATCAGGGAAATGGCAATCAAATCTACAATGAGATACCCCTTCACGCCCATTAGGATGGCTAAGAAGCCAAACGATTAGCAAGTGTTGGTGAGGATGTGGAGACACTGGAACCGTCATGCACTGCTGGTGGGAATGCGATATGATAGAGTCGTCGTGGAAAATCGTGTGGCGGCTCCTCAAAAAGGTGGACACAGAGTTCCCACACGGCTCAGCAGTTCCACTCCTAGGCATACATCCGAGGAAACGAAAACATAGGTCAGCACACGAACTTGGACACCCGTGTGCATAGCAGCACCAGTCACAACAGCCAGGAGGCGGAACCAACCCAGATCTCCACGAACTGAAAAATGGGTAAACAGCTCTGGTCAGTGTGGTGCACCGAAGGGTCATGGGTTCGATTCCCAGTCAAGGGCACGTACCTGGGTTGCAGGTTTGATCCCCGGCCCCGGTCAGGGCATGTGCTGGAGGCAACCAATCGATGTGTCTCTCTCACATCGATGTTTCTCTCTCTCTCTCCCCTCCCTCCCTTCCTTCCACTCACTCTTTCTAAACATCAATGGGAAAAATATCCTCGGGTGAGGATTAACAACAACAACAAAGGATAAACAAATTATATCCATACAATGGACTATGATTCATCCATAAAAATGAAATACTGCCACCTGCTACAACGTGGATGAACCTTGAAAACATGCTGAGTGAGAAAAGCCGGACACAAAGGCCACATTCTGTGTGATCCTATTTCTACGAAACATCCGGAATGGGCAAATCCACAGTCAGGAAGCAGATTATTGGTTGCCCAGGGATGGGGGGCTGGGAACGGAAAATGACTTCTTTTTGAGGAGCTGAAAATGCTCTAAATTGATTGTGGTTTCATAACATAATGGAAACCACTACACTGTACACAGTAAACATGTGAATTGGTTGGTGCGTGACTTACATCTCAATGAAGCTGGTATACGACAAAACACACACACACACGCCAAAACCGATCCTGTCTCCTGCTCTCTCTCAGACTTCAGACAGATCACCTGTGGGGAGTGGGGAGTAGGGAGCCCCTGCCTGGGCTGGGTAGGACGCCTGGGTCACCTCTGAGCGTCTCTCGGCACCAACGTCCTGGCCGGTGTTCAAAAGCTCAGGTTTCTGCTTATGCAGAAAACCTCGAGGTTGAGATGCTGGCGACTTTAAGCCCAGCATCTGTTTCCATGGTGACACGATGGCACCGCCAAGGCTACCTTCGGTCAGCTTCCCGAACAGCAGGTGTGCGCATGCTCACACGCACACACCTGTGACCCCCGCCTGCTTTGCGGGCGCAGGCTGGCTGGAGAACCCTGCCCTCTCCCTCCCCGGGGCCTGAGGCCGCACAGGAGGGGCTGAGCCACCTTGGGCCTGGTGCGGGCAAAGCACAGACCCCAGGAGGCAGGATTCTTCAGAAACAGGAGGCTCCCGGGTGGGTGGCTAATGAAGGGGGTGGGAAACGGCAAAGAGCAAGCAGCCCCCCACCCCCGTCAAGCAGCACTCCCAGCGCTGTCCAGGGTCCTGGCTGAGCTCTGCCCAGGGCTCGCTGGGAGCTAAGCATTTGCCCCGCCTCTTCCAGGAGAGCAGGTTCTCTCCCAGACAGGCCAACTTTTCATTTGTTTTTAAAACCTTGAACATGTGCCCGGCCGGTGTGGCTCAGTGGACCTATGAACCAGGAGGTCACGGTTCGATTCCCGGTCAAGGCACAGGCCCGGGTTGTGGGCTCAATCCCCAGTACATCTGTGTAACCCAGCCTTCGGCCCAGGCCGGGCACAGAAAAGTCTGGTGAGTTTAACTTATCGTGTTAACAGCTTTACTGAGGTCTGACTGATTATGTTCACACCCGTGAAACCTGCACACAGTGGAGATAAGGGGGTTGTCTGTCTCCCCCATGGCGGATGGAGACCCTGGGAACTCAGGCCCAGGTGCAGGTGAGACGAATGTGGGAGCAGGAGGAGTGGGGCTCGGAAGAGGGAGAGGGTGTGAGCAGCCCCCGGGCCGTAGGAGACATCACACGGGAGGCATAAGAATAGAAGTTTCTGTCAGGCCAGTGTGGCTCAGTGGTTGAGCACTGACCTATGAACCGGGAGGTCACAGTTCGATTCCCAGTCAGGGCACATGCCCAGTTTGTGAGCTCGATCCCCAGTGGGGGGCCTGAGGAGGCAGCGATCAATGATTCTCTCTCATTGTTGATGTTTTTCTCTCTCTCTCCCTCTCCCTTCCTCTGAAATCAATTATATATATATATATGAATAGATGATTTTTTTTTTAAATCTCAAAAGAGAGGTGAAGATGGCAGGTGTTTTTGAGGGGCCCAGAGGCCGAGGTGGTTCAATGTTTGAAAAAGCTTTGGATATTCTAGAAGCTGAAAGTCAGTCCCCAGGGGTCTGGAGGCAGCAGGCCACAGAGCCTGGGGTGGGGGCAGCTGTAGTCGGGGGGCTCCCCCTGGTTGTGGGTGGGCATTACGGAGCCCAGCACAAACAGCGGCTGTGGCGGGCCAGCCGGGGCCTTGCACGGGCTGAGCGATTTCCGGGGTGCTCGGGGCTGGGGGCTGAGAGCCTCTCCCTCCCCCCCTGCTCTCGAGGAATAACTGCGGGGTAGGTGGCTCGAGAGGGAATTGAGTGGCGCTCCTGAAGCAGTTTGGAGCAAACTGCCCCCCAGAGAGGCCGAGTTTGCCTCTGTCCTCTTCCCAGTCGAGCTTCCCGCGCCGAGAGCCGCTCACACTCCAGCAGCCCCATCGAGCTGCTCCCAGGAGGGAGCTGGGGGCCGGCTCTGCAGGGAGCTCCTAACGCACGCCCCAGACCTGGGCTGAAGGGTGGGAGCCACCAAGCAAACCCAGGGGTGTGGTGGCGGCCCTGCTGGCCTGGGCTCCCCCGGCTCCTGTGTGATGATTCTGCGACTGGGGGGGGGGGGTAGTGGGGGACAGCATGGCCAGAGGCTAGACCGAGGCATCCACACGCCCAGAGCTGGGCCCAGAGCAGGTTTATCATCAGACCCTGAACTGGGAGGGAAGCTGTGCGGCTGGGCCAAGGGCTGGGGCAGCAAGAGGGTGCCAGGGGTGCTGGGATGGGGACTGCACAGAGCTGTGGTCCCATCTGGGCCATGAGCAGCGGGTCCCGTGTTCCAGGATGCTCAGGCGCCGAGGAGGGAGGCCGGAGCCCTCTGGGGTGGGGTGGCCTTCTCCGGCTCCTCACAGGGAGCTGTCTCCTCACACTCATGTGCGACTGTAAATCAGCCATGTGGCGGTCACCACTGTCTCGAAGGCGGCCCAGGGGAGTAAGATGAGGTGGACCTGGGAGGTGGGAGGCGGGCTGTGGGCTCCCAAGCCAGTCAGTTAACGTCTCTGGGCCTTGCACCTCCCTGTCTGTCGAATGGGTTGCTTTGGACTGAATGTCTGTGCCCCGCCCCCTCAGAATGCATGTGCTGAAGCTGGCCCTCCAATGTGATGGTGTGAAGGGGCCAGGCCTTTGGGAGATGATTAGATCATCAGGGTGGCGTCCCCGCCAGGGATTAGCGTTCATATAAAAAGAGACCCCATGGGGGGTGGGTAGCGGGGAGGGATTAACTGGGGAATTTATATGCAGATATGCATAGCCCGTGGACAGAGACAATAATGGCAAAGGCCTAGGAGGGGCCAGTAGGGGGTGGAGGGGCATCAATGGGAAAAAAACAACCACCACCACAACAAAGGGGACATCTGTAATACTTTCAACAATAAAGATAAAGTTTAACAAAAAAGACCTCAGAGAGCCCCTCCCCTCTCTGCCATGTAAGACACAGTAGGAAGGTGGCTGTCTGCAAGCCAAGAAGAGAGCCCTCCCCAGACACCCAGCCTGTCAGCACCTTGACCTTGGACTTCCCAGCCTCCAGAATGGTGACAAGTCAAGTCCCTTGTTCCAGCCCCCAAGTCTGGGGTATTTTGTTCCAGCAGCCGAGCTGACTAAACATGAGAATAACATCTGGGATCAGTGAGATGACGGGTGTTCTATGTCGTGAATACAGCGCTGGCAAGACCACCCATGCCACAGGCATCCCACGGCGCGCCGTGGTGTATCCGGCACCGTGCTTGGCAGCCAGACACTAACCAGGAGCCCAGCGGGCAGACACGGTGCACGAAGGCCACACTGCCACCCAGTGCACGGTGCGGAGGGCTGTGTGTGCGCCCGGCGTGGCCAGCCCCGCCCCCGACCCACCTGTATCATGTAGAGCTGGGCGATGCGGTACTCCTCCACGGTCATCGGCAGAGGAATCCGATACTCCTTTATGATCATCTTGGAGTCCACGCCTTCCCGGCGACGGGGAACTGCGTGTTGGGACTTCTAGGCGACGAGGTTCCTTAAAGAACCATGACAGGGCTCACCGAGGACCCCTGAGGGGGAGAGAAAGGACAGGTGAGTCGCCTTCTGCAAAGACTGATGGGAACAAGAACACGGAGGAAGGGCGGGGCCTGCACCTGCGGCTGGAGTTCTGGTCCCCGTTCTGCCGCGAGCCCACCACGTGACTTTGAACACGTCCCCTGCCCCAGCCTCCAGCGTGGCTCAGTTGGTGGGGTGTCATTCCGTGCACCAGGAGGTCGCTGGTTTGACTCCTGGTCAGGGCATCTGCCCGGGTTGCAGGCTTGATCCCCAGTAGGGGGCGTGCAGGAGGCAGCCAACTGATCTTTCTCTCTCATCGATGTTTCTCTCTCTCTCTCCCTTCAAATCAATAAAAACCAAAAAACATAAGAAAGAAATCATAGCCTTTGAGTCAGCCAGATCCTTCACCTCCTCCCAAGCTGTGGCCGTGAGCAAATTCCCTAATCTCTTGGATCTTTCATCTCACCTCCCACAAAATTCTCCCATCCGCTCAGCCCAGTTCCAACCAGCACCCGGCTGGCAGTCAGCGTCTGAGCAGGGGCTGGAAGGCAGGCGTCCAGGCCTGTGTGTGGCCCAGCTTCCCGCCTGCACTGCAGACCCCAAGCCCCATCAGGGAAACACGGCCGAGCACCCAGGGCACGCACGTCCGTCCGAAGGACACACGGCCCCTTGCCAGGCCCTGGTGGGCACGATGGGGCCCCCCTGCTTTCTTCCTGGTTGAGCCCGAAGCAAGGGGCCCCGGGCAGACTCAACCCTCAGAAAGAAGGCGGAGTGGCTGTGTGTCTGCCTGTCCCCCGAGCCCTCCTCGCCTGCCCGGCAGCTGAACCCTCAGACAATCTCATTACGCTCATTCCGGCGGCCCGGTCGCGCGAGGCAGACACACATTTCATCGTCCCCGCTGGTGGGGGGGGTGGGAGGGGGGGCTAGACAGAATGATCTTTCCCTGCTCTGCACAGGGCAGCCCTGGGGGCCTGGCACAGGGAGAGGGGGAAAGAAAAAGGAAGTCTCGAGAGGCCTTGCTATGAGGGAAGCCAGGCGAGGACTCTGGGTGACCAGTGCGCACCCCGCCCCAGGAGCACAGCCCTGGCCCCTCCCTGGGAGGACAGGGACGGACCCCCCATGGAGCCTCAATTACGGCACCCGGCCCAGGTCTCTAGGAAAGTCTTGGGCTCCCGAAGCCCTGTGTTCACGACCCTAGGAAGGACCCCCGTTCACCAGTGTCTTTGAGGAAACAGCAGCCCAGACAACGTCAGAGTGGAGGCCAGTGGGCGTGGCCACCAGGGCCGTCCTAGGGGGAGGGATCCGCCTGGGCAAGGTGTGTCTGGAGCCCGGGCCTGGATTTGGGGTGGGGGTCACCCTCATGGGCCTCAGGCAGGCCAGCCTGTCCAGCCAGAGCCACGAAGGGAGGAGAGGGCACAGGCCTGCAGCTGACGGAGAAGGCGTGGTGCCATCCACGGAACCAAGGGCAGGAGCCCAGGGTCGTCAGGGACCCTCCGGGCCTCGTAGGGAAAAGGCAGCGTCCAGCTCAGCTGGCGTGGCTCCGTGGCTAGGCGTGACCTGTGAACCAGGAGGCCACGGTTCCACTCCTGCTCCCACAGGCCGGGGCTGTGGGCTCGATCCCCAGTGTGGGGCGTGCAGGAGGCAGCCCATCCATGTTCTCTCTCATCATTGATGTTTCTATCTCTTTCTCCCTCTCCCTTCTTCTCTGAAGTCAATAAAAAATATATTTAATAAAAAAATATTTTAAAAAGGAAAAGGCAACATCCGGGCAGCAGAAACAGCTTCTGGCTCAAAGGGGCGGGTGGCCAGGCTGGAGGGGCTGCGGAGAAGACCCTGGGGTGGGCTACAGGGTGTGGCTGGAAGGGGGGAGCGGCGCACGGAGCAGGCAGGAAGGGCGGACAAGTCTTTCCAGCGGAGGCCACAGCGAGACGCCCTACCTGGGAGGGAAGCATGAGAATCGGGGCACAGAACCAAACCCATGTTTCCACGATCGGCGGGGGCCTGACGAGGCCGTGCGGGGGCCACGCGGACGGAACGCGTCCAAACGCAACTCGGCTGCGTTCTGCCCATTAGGTCTGGAGCGGCTCCCAGGTGGGCCAGCGGAGCCTGCCCTGGCTTGGCAGTACGGGGGTGGGGTGGGGTGGGGGGGTGGGAGTGGGGCTGCTGGCAGGGAAGCCGGGGCCACACGCAGCTCCTGGGGCCCTGGGGCATCTGGAACACCTCTACTGCCTTTCTGTGGTCTCTCCTCGGCTTCCTCCACCCCCTGCTTCCCAAACCTGCCGGTCCCCAATCAGGGGCCAGCGTGGGTCACAGGAGAAGAACTTCATCTGCCCCCATCCATCTAGGAGGACGGGCTCCAGACGAACGAGGGGCCGCAGGTCCGTGGGAGAGGAAAGGGGCCGTTTTTTGTACCCCAGGGCCCAGCCGCCAGGCCTGGGTGGGGCAGGAGGGTGTGTGTATGAAGTTCACCCATCGGCTGCCTCTCTGTCCCCTGAGGGTAAAGGCAGAACCAGGCTTACCCCCAGAGAACGTCTGAGCTGGAAGGAGCTGGGGGTCCCTGCCCTCAGAGTAGCTTCACCTTATCTTCTTTAAAAACATCTAGTGTTTATTGATTTCAGAGCGGAAGGGAGAGGGAGAGAGAGAGAGGGAGAGAAACATCAGTGATGAGAAAGAATCATTGATCAGCTGCCTCCTGCAGGCCACCCACTGGGGATCGAGCCTGCAACCAAACCGTGACCTCCTGGTTCATAGAGCGACGCTCAACCACTGAGCCACGCCGGCCGGGCTCACCTTTCCCTTTAAGACAGTGAACGGCTGGGCCCCGAGGACCCCCACTTCAGTCCAAACATCCGTTTATAAAGGAGGAGATGACGCCTGGATTTCGCAGGTGTGACGAGCTGGAGGGCTTCGTGCCCCCCCCCCTGCTGGGAACACCCCAACCCAGACAGCACCAGGGAGGAGGGTGGGGGGCTTTTATCGCTCAGGTGCAGAGAGCAAAGCATCCTGCCCCAGGGCAAAGGGTCCCCAAGCCCATCTCCCGGCAAACGACACCACCGAGCAGCCAACGTGCTGACGCTGACGGCAAACTGCTCCGTTAGCTGCTCCTCAGAGCAGAGGCGCCGCCAAGAACAGCGCACCCTCCCTGCCGCGTCCCAGGAACAACCGCCGGCTTCTTGACAGCATCTGTGACTCAAACTGTTCGCAGAGCCAGACGAGCCCCCCCACCCCCACCCCCTGAGAGTGTGTGCAGGGGCACAAGCCCAGACAGACAGACGGACAGACAGAGGCTGTGCCCTGTCACCCACGGCGGCGCGGGGCCCTGATGAGATAGGGGCGTGACCTCGGAGTGGCCGCTCGCGATGTACCGTTTATCGCACTCGGACAGGCAGTGCTGGGAAGCAGCGGGGCCAGGCGGGAAGAGAAAGCCGGAGGGGCCGAGCCACTTGACAAAGCCACACAGAGCCACGGGCAGAAGGCATGACAGTCTGCGTTTTCTGGCCTGCGACCCGGGCCTGGTCTACTGCACTCTGGGGTGAGCGGGTGCAGGTGCCTCAGGCCACCCACATTAGGTCCAAATGTTCTACTCAGAAGGCAGCCAGCAGGCCAAGCTGCATCCGGGGCCAAAAGGCCGGGCCAGGGTCCCCAGGGGCGGTGCGCACACGCGTGTGCCCAAGCAAACTCGTGTCTGCACAGCTCTGCCCGGGTCTTGCTCAACCTCAGCGAGTGAGCGATCAGTGTGGCCAGGCCTCCCAGGGTGGCCGGAGAACACCGCATGCCTGGAAAGTTTCCCAGGGAACTGGCCCTTCTTCTCAGAATTATTAGCTTCCCTTCAGTGCCCCATAAAAACCCTCCCGCTGCTGATGGATGCCAGCCTTGTCCAGGGCGGGAGGGAGGGAGGGAAAAAGCACAGAGGAAAAATAAACACTGGTCAGGCTCGGAAAGCCCCGTGGGCATAATGTGGGAGGCGAAGGCACCAGAGGGAGCTGGGCTGCCTGTCCAGCTGCACAGACTGGGCACTGCCCGGCGCCCAGCGGTGACGTTCTCACGGACAACAGGACTGGCACTCCCGGGAGCTGGGCAGTGCGGGCAGAGGGCCCCGCCCGCTTTGGGACAATGTTTTCAATAGTCTCAAGGCCCGCCCCTCAGGGTCACCTTATCCTAGCGTGAGGACCCCTCCCTGCTCAGGAACTGCCCATCGGCAACTCGTGGGCAGGAGGACCTGACCAAGGTTGGACAGGAGTCACAGGGAAGGGCTGGGCATCTCCCGGAGCATTCTGGGGGCGGGGCAGGAATCTAGCGCTCAGCCTGGGGACCCCAGAGAATCAGGCATCTCTCGTGAGCTGAATCTCAATGATGTCTCCAGCACTCTCCCCCCTTCTCCAAACCACTCTCCATTCCTGCCTCTTGATTGATTGATTGATTGATTGGAGAAAGAGAGAGAGAGAGAGAGAGAGAGAGAGAGAGAGAGGGCATTCATTGGTTGCTTCTTGTATGTGTCCTGACTGGGGATCGAACCCACCACCTTAGTGTATGGGGACGACGCTCTAACCAATTGGGCTACCCGGCCGGGCCCTGCCTCTGTCTGTCACCAGGTCCGGAACTCCCAGCGATGATCTCTCCACGCTCGGCCTCTGGCTCATCTGTCTCTTTTCTTTCTGGAAATCTCCTTAGACGGAGGCTCGGTGTGCTCCTCGGTGCATCCCATCCTGTCTGCCGCTGCCCCCCCCCCCCCCCAGGGCTGTGTTCCAGGCGGCCTCTCCTCTGGCTTCCAGTTACTGTCCTCTCTCCAGCTCTGAATATTCTGTGAACATTCTCTGTGGGTGTTTTTCAAATCTGCTTCATGCTTTTCGTGCCTTTCTTTGTCCCCTGCACGTATTTGCAGCCTTGCCTTTCGTTTGTCCCCAATGCAGCGAGCATGGCTGTGGGATCCAGGGCGCCTACACGCTGCCGCACCTGAAGGCCGGCGGCCTGGGCTGCCTCTGCCCTCGCCCCGCGGCTCGGGCTGCTGATCTGCGCCTCCGCCCGGTGAGTTATTTTTGACTCCGGACTGCTCGTGTTCTGCGGAGGTTATTTGCAGAAATCCTGGGAGACGCAGCACAGGGTCTGCTGTTCCCGGAAAGATCTCTATTTGCTTCCCCGCGAGCCCGGTTCCCACCCCTCTGAGACCCCTCGGGTCCCAGCTCGCGGTCCTCCGGCCACCTTTCTCGGGCCTGTTCTTCCCAATCGGGGAGCGTGCACTTGCACTTGCTCCCTGGGGGGGTGGCCCTCACCAAGCCCCACCCCCGGGTGGCTTTACACAACACACACACGGATCCTCTCGAAGTTCTGGGAGCCGGGAGTCCCAGTGCGGTGCCTTGGTGAGGTTGGTGCCTCGTGCCATGGCTCTGAGGGGGGCAGGGGGGGCGGAGGCAAGTCCTGGTGGCATTTGGATCTGCAGCTCCGGCCGCCGCTGAGCCTGCTGCCCCGTCCCTCCTCCCACGGTGATACGAGCTCCCTGGGCGGGTCCCCTTCTCCCGGGAGCACAGACAGGACTTCTGTTACTCACAACCCGGGACGCCCTGACTACTTGTAGGACGACGTCCCTCCCTTCAATCTCTGCGTGTCATTCCCTAGCGTTTTGCTCCTCAAGGGCACGAAGACCAATGTCACTGGACCCCAAGATCACACGGTGCTGAAAGGTTCCCAATCCAGGAGGTATGTTCCTTTCGCTTGTCGTCCTGACACCTCACCGTCGACCTTCTGAGGCCACGGGCGCCGCGGGGAGGCGATCCGGCCAGGGAAGGACGCGGCTGTGGAGGGCAGACGCGGGTGGCGCGAAGCCCAGTGTCCTGGACACACGCCACCCACTCCCACGCCGAGACTTTACCGCGACACACGGGCACTTTCTGGGAATCTGGGGGCTGCCCGGGGCTTCTCGCCAACCTGAGTCCGCCTGCCGGGGCCCGGAGTCCGCCGACCTCGAAGGCTTCTCCCGGCAGGAGGCGGGGACGCGCCGCCCCGCTGGGCCCACCTGCCTGCACGGCGCCAGGCGGGCGGGTGCTAAACAGACACAATCCCTGGGACGAAAATAAAAGCCGGCTCGGTGACATCTTGCCGCAGCTTCGCAGGAACAGCAGGCTCCTGTGTACACACTGTCCCGCGCCGCGCGCCTGTTTGCAAATTCGTCACACACACCAGCCGACGCTGCTCCGAGGGGAGCTCAGGCGACGGGGTCCTCTGATCACCTCCAGCAGGCCCTGGGCGGGGACTCCCCCCCTTCTTGCCAGACTCCTAAGCCCCCCATCTTGCTGCCCTCCCCCACAGAAACACTCAGGCGGGGGAGGGGGATGGTGCCGGGGGCTCCCCAGTTGCCTTGTCTACAAGTGTCCCCAATATACTAGTAACATGATGGGGGGTTTTTGTTGGTTTTAAATATATATATTTTTTATATTGATTTTAGAGAGGAAGGGAGAGGGAGAGGGAGAGAGAAACATCAACGATGAGAGAGAATCATTGATCAGCTGCCTCCTGCACGCCCCACACTGGGGATCGAGCCCGCAACCCGGGCATGTGCTCCGACCGGGAATCGAAGTAGTGGCCTCCCGGTTCATAGGTCGATGCTCAACCACTGAGCCACGCCGGCCGGGCAATAACCTAATGGTTTCAAGACAGACATGCACACATGTGTAATATGTCAGTGGAAACTATGCGAAAGCAAAACGGACAGAAATGGAGGGGAGGTCCAGAGCGACACCGTTTAACTGCAGGGTCACACCCCACCAGCCGCCGTCGCAGCCCCCGCCCCTCTGGGGCTCTTCCCGGAGACGTTAACCTCCCCCACCTGTGCTCCCAGGTCCACCTGGCTCCTGCGACACTCCTGGTCCCCAGCCCCGTCCAGCTTCCTGTGTCAGCTCTGAGGGTCCCAGGACTGAGTCCCCGATCCCGGCCCTGAGGTCGGGGCGGTGGTGGGGGGTCAGTGGGAAAAGCGTGAAGCTGAGCTGGGCCACTTGCCGGTCTCCTAACTCTGGCCTCCGCTGACCGACCGGGAGGGAGGGCTGACACCTGGACTCGGCGGGAGCTCTCAGGCGGCGCTGGGCCCACGTGGAGGCGCGGGGGCTGGGAGCTCACACTCACGTTGCCTGGGAGACAAACTCCTCTTCTATTTAGGGCCGCCCCCCAGGGCTCCGTGCCAGCTTCTCCCCCTCCTCCCGCCCCAAAGGCTTCACCTGAGCAGACAGACGTGGGGACGGTGCCCTCCCCACCCCCGGCCACCACCCCAGAGGGTGCCTTGGCGGGCCTGGGTCAGATCTAATTGCACTGCCCTGCCTCCTTCTTCCAGGAAGCTCCTCTGGGTTGACAGAGAAAGGCTCGCAGTCTTTCTGCTCTCTCCAGCCCTGTGTGATGGACACTGCCCTCCCCGCCCTAGGCCTAGGCCTGGGGATCTGGGTCTCTACACATTCAGCCCAATTAGGGGGTCCCCTGCACTTGGCACTTCCCCAGGATTTCATTAAGAATGAGGCCCACGAGGCCCGGCCAGGGTGGCTCAGTGGTTGAGCGTCG